TCATTTGGAGACCTCATGAGATTTTAGGCTTCACTTTGGTTAATGTCGCGGAAGCTTACAGGTTGGTGCACCGTTGGCTTTTATCTTTCTTGAAAATGAACAGGAAGAAGAGAAGAGGCCCATTGCAGCGTGCCTTCTGCGAATAAGTGAGGAACAACCGTGTTGAATGTTTGCCATTTGGTTAGAAACTGATTCAGCTATCTTATGGTGACAAGTAATTTGGGATCCGGATGTGATGAAGCGTCACTGCGACATCCGTGTCGTGCTTTGCACTTTTCATAGCCAAGCATGAATTGACGTTTGGGTCAGACGATTTATTCATTAAACGTATTCTATAAATCTACAAGACGAATAAAGCAATGTATACTTCACACCCTGCCGGCAAAATGACTACAGTATTCATTAGCACCTTTGCTGGCATTTAGCATCCAAGGTACATCCTCTTGTAAAGCCTCGTTTTTACCGCAGGTGGTTTAATTCCAGAATAGTAGAGGCCTGTAACGTCTACTGTAAAGACCTTCATATTAACGAAGCACGTAAAAGCGGGACTATAGTTTGGCTTTGGTAAAAACAAGCCCACATACAATTATTGATGTGCTCGCATTCGCTTTGGACTTTTCAGAGTAGTACTCAATCCTTTTTCGTTACGACCATTACAGCCGCGATAAAGGACGGTCGCAACTGCTCTAACAGTTCGCAGGTATTGCATATGAAGGCTGGTAATTTCATTCAAGAAAGCTTTTCTCATAACATATTCGTGTGTGTTCCTCTACCTCTGACATCTAAGTGTTGTTTAGGTTTGTACTGAATCTGAGACATAGTGTCGTGCACCCTGTGCACGACGCTCAATTTCGTCGTGATAAAGACATGCTACGAAGTGTAGCTGGGCAGATATCATCAAATCAACTTGGATTAGAAGACCCCCACGAAGACCGGAGCCAGCTCATGGCGGGGTCCAATGCACCCGGCGAATCACCATATAATTAATATAAACAGGAGATCAAGCCTGTAGAGACTTGAACTGCGTAACTTATCGCTGTGAAATGAGTAAAAGACACTCGGTACACGATTTCCTATACGAAGCAAATTACGCGTTTTCTCTGACCATCTTCTTGCACATGGTCAACGGATGATATATCCAACTTCGTCGAGCCCACTCACGGATGTGCACCCGATCATGCTTTTCTACAGCACATCTTTTCTTTTAATCGGCGTTTGCGCTGTAAATGTGGCTGCATCTAGCTTATTATAATCTTGTATACTTTGCCACTTGCCGGAAGCCTTTCCGACACAAAAAGTCGGCACCAATGCTTAAACTTACTCTTTACCACCAAAACTAATCCGTGCTTCAAGCAGAAAAAAGCGTACTCTGTTTCATTATTAATGCCTTTTGCCAAGTGACGGAGTTTAAGTTTATGGAACAAAGTTAGCCTCTATGAGGGGGCGAACACTCGATTTGAATATCTCGTCACCATGTTCAATAAAAACAATGTAAAGGATCCGTAGGATCGTTGGGGATAGCCTTCCTCGCGCGAAGGTCTCCGCGAGTGTTTTGATAATGGATATATTTACAACGGCTGACAAGCTCGAACCTTTCTCTGGTACTAAACGTATGATTTCTGTTACCTCGTTGTATTGCCAATCGACACATGTTCTGGTGTGAGTTATTTGTTCCGGTTATAAAGGGAATTTTGTCAAGGGTGGTGTAAGAGGGCTTCAAACGCTAGCACTATCCCGCTTACTCTATGCACGAGTGAATAATCGCTTTTGCCTCTTACCCGTGGTGCTTTACTTCTTTGCACGGTGGGCACATCACAGAGTAGTGCTGATTCGGCTGTGCCGTCATATCGTGATAAGAATTTACTATCTTTCTTAATTTTCAAGGACTAGCGCAGATAATGCAAAATGTGTTGCAGTCTATTCAACTTCCATTTTTGATGCTGTCTGTACTACTTTGCAAACAGCAAAGCGACGATATTAACGTCTTAATACTGGAGACTTGCAGTTGCCCCTCAGCTTGATCGACTATGGGGCTAGGACATGGCGACACCTGCCGACCATAGCAAATGAAAGAACAGCTATTGCTGCTTTTTTGTCTTGCCAGATCTACACTTTAGACACTACGATATTCAGCCGTCCTTTTGTCTCAAAAAAGGTACATTCTAGTGGCTACGATGTGCAATGGATCTTTTCAATCTTATCCGGAGACTTCGGCTTACTACCGCTTCTACCTCTCCAGGTCCTAGAAAACAGTTCCAGACAATCCCTTACACTGCACAATATATATATGTATGGAAATTTGAGCTAAAAGCGCATCTACTATCAAACAAAAGTAAACTCAAATTCCGTCAATTCTTCGCTGGAGAAAAAGTGTTTGGCACTTAACTTTCTTTTACTTCCAGCTGTACAAGCTAGACAATGTTCCATGCTGTCAATTTCATCAAAATCTATACAAGTGCTGAGTGTGGCCTTCAACGCTTTAATCATTGTCTCCGTCGAAAATGTACGGATATCATATCCATAATTGTTATCCTCTATTCCTCTGCGTACTGTCTACCATTTTGCCAGCCGCGCGCCAAACATAATTGCATGCAATTTTCGAATCTAGCAGGCCTCTCTGCGGCTTCACATAACCCGGGACGATGATATTACCAACAACGAAGCTTAGTGGAGCTCCACCTTTCCTATCGATAACCGCTCTTTTCAACGCTGGGTCCCACAGACCAAGAAGTCCTGAAATACAATCAAGCCTAACATGTTCCCAGTACATCACCATGCACCAACTAGGACTTGATGTACCTCTGTGGGAAATTGTCATCCATTTATGCTCAGGGGTACGATCTTTGCACATTTCATCCTAGAGAAAAGGACACGCATGACGCAGTAATTGATACCACCGCAGATGAAACATCGGCGAGCTCCGTGGAGCTGCTCAGCGCCTGAGAATGTCCATTTCTTTGCACAACATAGCTAAGCTTTATTGTCCTTGATGCGCCCGTAGAGCTTAATTCCAGCACCCCATCTTGCCCTTGCGGTAGAAAAGTTATGTTTCTATTCGCTTTCCTTTGCTATTATTCGATGCGAGCCCCACCTATTTGGAGACATTACGTTACGATGGTTAAAGACTCCGGGAGAGGATCAGATGCCATTACTGCATTTCAATTTGATCCACCATACTTCACCTCCTTTGACTGGTAGGAGTTTTGAAAACCCTCGATATGGCTGTGTGAACACTCGCGACATCTATTGCTCCAATATGCTCCACGTCAGAACGCAAGTTTTGCCAAGTTATTGCCCCCAGTGCCCATTCTTGCGCTAGAGCTCCTAGCTTGAAAATTGCAAGCACAACACGCTGTGGCTTTGTTTGGAGCAAGGTCGAACCAATGGCACAATCCACTTCCCTCATCCAGATGAAGGGTGTAATGGGGTTACACGCACTTTGGTAACAGGGGTGTGTTACACGAGATGGGCATGGTGTGAATGCACCTAAATAAAAATACGGTACATGGCTGGGTAGCCAGTAGTTATGCATGTATTTAGATGTTACTTTATATATATAGAAAAATCTTTACATTTAAAATTTGGTGGCTTTGCCGCAGATAAAAAAATAAATAAAGTCAGTTGTGCATTTAAACGAAAGAGTTAATTAGCCTTGGGTAAAGGCAATAATTACTTTTGGAGTAACCGGATAGCGATCCGCTAAGCTCGTACATGTTCTAAGTATAGAACGAAAGGCTGGTGACCTAACTCACGCTTCCTAAAAGCGCAAAGCAACGGCAGCCCCGCTGCAAAGGGAATTTCTCAGTCCCTCTTGACACTCAACATCAGTGGTTGCGTGGTGTGGCCCAGCTTTTCCTCAATCGATTTTCGGTGGGAGCGCTCCTGAACGTGCTTCTTCAGCGAGCGATATCCGCTTTGGCCCTTCATCTACCAATTTTGATCTGATGGGGACCCAATCAGATTTACGTTTGTAAAACTGGTCTCTCTATCCTTGGGCAGAAATTTGAATATTTCATGGTTCATCCTTGCAAAGGATACTGTCATGCCACGACTCAGTGGTTGCATTGACTACAAGTGCTATCAACGGTCAGCGGGGTAGCCGGGCGATTTACACGGAGGTTTAAGTCTTACGATCCGTGGTAACAAATACACAGAGGTTGGGACGTGCGTTTCTACAAAGATAGGAACTGAAAGCCTCTACCATACATAGACGCCTTATTAGTTCTGCTATCACGGACAAATATAAAAAAATCTACTTTTTCTAATACTATAATATACGTTCTGCTATTCTATACGATAACTTTGTGATTATCATCTGACGTGCAGCTAACAGCCCAGGCAAATGACGGACTTCTCCTGTTCGAGGTCCCATCATCATCATATATACCGACTTCGGTCATAGTAGTAAATATAGTTTTATTATTCGAAATAGTAATCCGAATGTTATTTAGTATTATAACAGATTAAATCCCGAAAATAGGTCACTCTAAAAATCCAAAAGCTTAGATCATTAATTACTCGTTGGTTGAAGCCCACGAACCCAACCTCTGTGCGTTTGCTAACGCAGACACTATAGTCAGAACCTTCGCTGTGCAAGGTGCACGGCGATGTGCTGTCAAATAAGGATATTTCTATAATAACATTGAAAAAAGGTTGAATCCGTTATAGTAGGTATCAACCTACATGAAGTATTGTACCCATTTTCTCTAACAAACCAAATTGATTCCTTGACTCTCTAAGGTGTCTCTATACCACTTGGAGAAGTCATGATCAATCTACAACAATATCAACACGAATAAATCATCACTCGATCAGTGTTGTTAGTGCAGGTTTAATTGACATGAAGATACAAACACTGGGATAGTAAGCGAGCAATTTTAAAGTTAAACAAATGTACGGTTAAAAATCGTTGCGATCTGAGAAAAATGAAATCGAAGGGTACTATTTTGTATCCGCTAGTTTTTCGGTCTTGACGGTAGTAAGTTGGTCCTTTACAATCTTTACAGAATCTGCTCGCCGGGAAAAGAATCAATAGGATTAGACACTGCGCCGCTGTTGGTGTTGACGCTGAACATGATGCACTGCGGGTGGTCAAGGTTTCCGTACACATCGCACGACGTCTCGGGACGAATGCTGATAACAAAATCAGTGTCTTCGTAAACTCGCTTGAGACCCTTGCCGATCTGCGGATCGTATACGCTCACATCATCGATTGTCAGCGCGAACGAGACGTCCATGGACTCCCCAGGCTGCAGCTCGATTTTGTTGAACTTTTTCAATTGTTTCACCTCAGGTACTGAAATGAGGCGGAATGGCTGAGTTATGAAAAGCATAACCACCTCTTTACCGGCTCGGTCACCAGTGTTCGTGACGGTCACAGTAGCTGTCACAACATCGGATGCGCTTGACATGACCGTTCGATCTAACGTTACATTGGAGTAATTGAACGTTGTGTAACTCAGTCCATCACCAAAGTTGAATTCGTGTTGGCAAACTCCATAAGAGCATTGCGTAGAGACTAGACGGTTGTAATGAATGTTGACGTTGGCTGGGTATTTCGGGTACGTGATAGGCAGTCGGCCGCTTGGATTCACATCACCGTAAATAATCTCCGCCATGGCCTGGCCACCAAATTCACAAGGCAATAGACCATTAATAATTGCCGAAGCAACGTTAGGAATTGACCCAAGCAGACGTGGACGTCCTTCAAATAGCACTACAATAACCTTGGTGCCAGTCTTTGCAAGAGCTTCAACATACTGAATCTGTCCCGCCGGAAGCGTAAGGTCTTCAATTTCGCCAGGGCCTTCAGTATAGCTGCGCTCACCAATTGCAACGACTGTGTACTCGTGTCCACTGGCGTAATTGACAGCAGATGCCAAGTCCTCCTCTGAGATCGTGCCGTTTACAAAGAGTCCATTAAAGTACTGGAACGATTCATTGCCAACCAAATTTTCGAATCCTTGACGCAGCGAGATACCGTGCGGGAACATTACATTGCCCGAGTACCCTTGCCACGCCTTAGTCCATCCGCCGCACTGATAGCCAATGTTGTCAGCCGAGTGTCCTGTTAGAAAGACCGAGGCCTTTTTGGAAAGTGGTAGAACATTATTCTCGTTCTTGAGCAATACGATCGATTCCCGAGATATTTCTAGTGCTACTTTCTTGTCGTCCTCACCACCGACCAAATCAACATAATCCGCACCTGGTACTGGGTTTTCATAGAGTCCAAGCTTGAGCTTCGTCGCGACAGCTCGCTTTGCGGACTGACGAAGACGATCTTCATACTCCGGAAACTTTTCGATGAACGCTTGTGTGTGATTAATAAAGCTTAAGTCATTCGGCACCATGCTCATGTCTAACGACGTTTTCGTCAGAACCATGGCTACAGACTCTTCGCGCGTCTTCACTGAACGGTGCCAGTCGGCAAGATTAGTTACTTCTCCCCAATCGGAGATTAAAAGCCCATTGAAACCAAGATCTGTACGCAAGAGGTCGTTCAAAATGCGGGAGCTAGAAATTACAGGCTCACCGTTGATCGAGTTGTACGATTCAATAAGTGTCAACGCGCCGGCATCAATTGCAGCTTTATATGGAAGAACAAAGTAATTGAGGAGGTCAAAGTCTGACATGATGACATTGTCACGGTTTTTCCCAGTGTGTGCATTGGAATAACCAATAAAGTGCTTCATACAAGCCGCACTTTGATTGTAACTTTGGATACCACGAACAGTAGCTTCAGCCATCACGGAAGCCAAGAACGGGTCTTCCCCAAACGATTCGAATGTGCGAGACCAGAGTGCAGAGGTGGCGATATCTAAAGTCGGTCCAAACAACATTGAAATTCCAGCCGATAAAGAGTCACGTGCGGCGATCCGAGCCACTTCATACACAAGGTCGGTGTTAAAACATGCGCCAGAGTTAATCTGATGCGGAAAAAGGATGGCATCATCGACATAGTTTGCACCGTGCCCCGAGTCAATTCCGTACAAGATCGGATGGCCGCCATTTTCCTCCATATTGATCTCTTGAATTCGTGTAATGATTGCACGAAACTCGGCGGCTGTCCAGCCGTATTTGCCATTGAGTGGTGAGCCCCACACGCTATTGAAATATGAGCCGACACCATGCTTAGCGTTAAACCGTACAAGATCCTCGTCAAGAGTTCGATTTTTGGTCATGATGGTATTTAGATCGAGTTGCGTCATTTGACCAATCACTTGATCCAACGAAAGACTATCGATGATGGATTGAGCTCTGATCTCAATGTCGTTTTCCTCTGCAGCCATTCTTGTCGCCAAACTTTGGTGCAGTGATAGACTTGCCGTCACTGCCGTTGTAAAAGAGAGCTTCACCATTGTTCGGCTACGTTACCAAGTCCAGTAGATTGACCTACTTGGAGAAGAGTTAATTTAAAAATGAGTTCAATCGTTTCGAATCCAAAAGCTGAAGGTGAGTACGATAGGCTTGAGAATATCTCTGCCGATCGCAAGAGCTCGATACATGTCTCGGCTGAAAGCATGAGATGAGCTTAATTCGACTGAACGACAGAGCAGGAATGCATCACGAGCACTTGAAGTCAACGAATGTGCGACGATTTGATCACAACTGGACGTTAGTTTTACTGTAATTGTTTTCATTAGGATATTCATGCAAGAAACACAACCAACTGTGCGTTTAAGCTTAAAGGGTGTATCTTATCAAATTTCATCTCACAGTATCATGACAAAACATACTCACCAACAGGCGAAAATTAACGACAGTATCGATAATCATGATATGGACAATAGGTTTGGAATCGCTCCGAACGAAGCCAACTTTTTTTTTCAATATCAATTTGCTCCCATTTACATGTGCTGGATAAGGAAATCCAGGAAAACGCAGAGGGTACGAAGAAGATGTTCA